TAGATAGGGCATATTAATGATAATTCATTTTCATTATAATAAACAGTACATAGAAAACAGAAATTTGCCAGGCATTGGGGGCCTTTAATCCCAGCACTCGGGAGGCAGAGGCAGGTAGATCTCTGTGAGTTCAAGACCAGCGTGGTCTACAGAGCAAGTTCCAGGACAGCCTCCAAAACAATACAGAGAAACCCTGTCTCGAAAAACAAAAAACAAAAACAGAAAGAAAGAAAGAAAAGAAAACAGAAATCTGAGCCAATAAGATGGTTCACCAGGTAAAGGCACTTTACTCCAAACCTGATGACGTGAGTTCAATTCCTGGGAACCAGATGGTGGAATGTGAGAACCAATTCCCTGCTAGTTGTTCACAGTCCACAGGTACATTGTAGCATGCACTTGAGTGAACATACAAGCTTATTCAGACACACACATAAAATTTTTATTTATTTAATGTTTAAAAAGTGGGAGAGGCTGGAAAGATAGCTCAGAAGTTAAGAGCACTGGCTCTTCACTGGCTGTTCTTGCAGAGGACCTGAGCGTGGTTCCCAACACCCACGTGATAGCTCACAACTGTCTGTAACTCCAGTTCCAGGGAAATCACTGGTGTCCACTGTCACCAAATATGCAAGTGCTGCAGAGACACACATGCAGTCAAATTACCCATACACATAAAATAATAATATATTTTTTAAGCTTTTAAAAGTCGAAACCAGAAATTGGAGCCTCCAGAGTACCACTCTAGTTTGGTCTCGGGCTGCTCTCTTTTCAGTGCCCCACAAAGTGACCACACTAAATAATTATCCATTCAGCTTTTCTTTCACACTGGCTTCCTATTTTTTGAACAGAGTTCTCAAGCTTAATCATTAAGTTAATTTTGAATTTTTAACTAATTTGATCTACTGAACTGCTAACTCGTTGGGTCACCATCCAATTAATTCCTCTTTTTTGTTTTTTTCCTACTGGAAACTCATGAAACTTGAAAAACTTGGAATGTTATGAAAACAGAAAACCTTCATTTTAGAACATAAAATATGAGAATTATGTATGTGAAGTTTTAAATTGTGGGTTTATTTTCTCATTCTCTACAAACCCACTGCCATCACTCTCCACCAGGTTTCTGAGTCTGCATACTCCTGACATGCTTGTCTATGTGGTTCTCGTATGGAGAATAGCTCTGCACTAACAATGTTCCTGGCAGCAGTCCCAGCTTCAACGCTGCTGCCTGCCAAGGCACCCTCTTGGGTAGAACAGTCAGACATTTTGAAATTTCCTCCCAGCCACACAGTCCCCACTGGAGAACCATTATCTGGTACCAAGACATAGCCACTTCTTGCATAGAATCTACAGTCACTTCCCAACAGGTCTACCTGGGTCCACCCAGAAACCCCTTCTTCAAATTATAACCAAAGCAATCTTTCCAGCTGGGATCCTGTCAGTCCTGCTTGAGGCAAGCCTCAGGCAGGTTTACATTATTTCTTACAATGAAATTCAAAATCTTTATTGTCGCCTTACAAAAATCTAGCTCCTATCTCTGGCTTTATCCTGTACCCCTACTTTCTGGTCACACTGTATGTCTTCTGAGCTCCTTTAATACACTGCTCTCTTTCTAGCCACTTAACATTGTCCAAGCTCTGCCAAGAACTTTCTTTTCCCGGCTGGTACGGTCCTCTGAGGACCTGCTGTCCATGGAGGTGAAGAGGAGAAGGTCTCACTATGTCACCCTGGCTGGCCTGGAACTTGTTACAGAGGTTGGCTAGGTGAGCCTCAGACTCACGGGCAATGCTCTTCTCTTCCACCTCAGTGCTGGGTTACAGGCACATGCCACTCTACCCAATGGCTACGTCTATCTTCTCAGTGACAACACTACCTGGGGGCCCTGGATCAAAGCTACAAGTTACAGGAAAAGTTGCACGTATTCTCATGGCTGGGAAAGAAAGCAACCTTAAACAGGGCAGTTAGGCCACCATCATTCACAGCCATCAAGGAGAAAGAAGTTAATGCAGATTTTCTTAATTTACATAGAATAAAATTAGCTTTTGTGGAGTATAGTTTCGTGAGTTTTAACACTCATAACCACCACTACAGTCAAGATACAGAACAAGAAATACTTTCCTGTTGCCCCTTTGCAGTCAGTCTCCCTACCAAGCCCACGGGCCACAGCTCTGCTCTTTATCCTATCATTTTGTCTCTTCCTAATATCAATATTCTGTCTCTTTCTTTACCAATAAAGCTATGCATGCACACAAGTGAGCTCACACACATGAATAAGCATATCCACATTCATATAGGTGTCTTATTCTTCGCATTAAATGTTTTAATGTGGGAGTTTGGGGAGCATTTCATTGTTTTGTTGAGATAGTGTCCGCCCTATAAAACAGGCTGACCTACAACTTACCCTAGAGTCCAGGCTGGCTTAAAATATTAAGCTGTTTGACCCCAGCACTCAGGAGGCAGAGGGAGGAAGACCACAAGTTAAAAGCCAGCCTGAAGCCAGGTGTGGTAGCACACCCCTTTAATCCCAACACTTGGGAGGCAGAGGTAGGCAGATACCTAAGTTCCAGGACAGCCAGGGCTACAGATAGAAATCTGTCTCAAAAAAACAAATGTAAAAGTGTTTTAAACAGTTAGCATGTGAAGATGGGAGATGTAGAGCTTGGAGAAGTCTGTCAGCTGACTAGGGTCCAACTGCTGCAATTCTGCATCTTGAACTTTACGTCTTCCCCAAAGGCTAGCTACAGCTCCATTTCTGCACACTGTTGGACAGCCCAGGGAATCTTGTTCATGCATACAACATCTGTGCTCCAAAGTGTCCCTCCACATCTTCTTGTGACTGTCTGCCTTGCTTTACCACGCCAGAACTGCTGCACTACTTTTCCTTCAACGGTTTTTGCTAGAGAACCTCCTAGACTGTTCTAGCGCTCCCTATTTATGAGCATAACTTTGTCATTGTGCAAAGATAATCCCAATCACATTGTCAAATCAACTATGGTAGAGGCAAACATTTTCACTTAGTGATCTAGTATTTATAAGTGTGCAGTGTTATCTGTATATGCATGTGTGTGGGGTGAAGTTGCACCAGAGCACATATACATGTGGAAGTCGCAGGTCCACATCATGTGTCTTCCTCTAGTACTCTTTTTTTTTTTTTTTTTTTTTTTTTTTTGGTTTTTCCAGACAGGGTTTCTCTGTGGCTTTGGAGGCTGTCCTGGAACTCGCTCTGTAGACCAGGCTAGCCTCAAACTCACAGAGATCCACCTGCCTCTGTCTCCCGAGTGCTGGGATTAAAGGCGTGCGCCACCAATGCCCGGCTTCTAGTACTCTTTTCTTAAGTAGGGTTCTATTGCTGTGAAGAGACACCATGACCAAGCCAACTCTTATAAAGGAAAGCATTTCATTGGCGGTCTGATTAGTTTCAGGGATTTAGTCCATTATCATCACAGCAGGAAGTGTAGTGCAGGCAGGCAGGCATGGTGCTGGAGCAGTAGCTGAGAGTTTTACATCCTGATCCACAGGCAGCAGGCAGGCAGAGAGACTCTGGGTTGGCTGTGGGCTTTTGAAACTTCAAAGTCCACCCCCAGTGACACACCTCCTCCAACAAGATCACATCTCCTAATCCTTCCCAACAGTCCACCAACTGAGATCTAAACATCCGAATGTGTGTGCAAGTGTGTATGTGTGCATGTGTGTTTATGGAGGTCATTGTCATTAAAACTCATTAAAACTACAACTCTCAACACCTCCCAATTTTTTTTTGTAGACATGGTCTCACTAGGTCCCCTTGGCTAGCCTGAACTCAGTAGGCAGACCATGCTGACCTTGAACTTTTAGAGATCCACCAGCCTCTGCCTTCAAAGTGCTGGGATTAAAGGCATGTACTACCATGCCCACACATTAATTTCATTTTTAAAAAAACTCTTGAAGGATGGGGAGATAGCTCAGTGGTAGACTGCTTGCTTGGTCTGTGTTTTTCCATCCGCAAGCACTGTTGACTCCGCCTATAATGGAAACAGCATCTGACCTCACTGTTGACTCGCCTATAATGGAAACAGCACCTGACCTTTTCCGGCCACTGCTCCATCCCTCCCTCCCTCCCCTAACGGTGCTGAGAACACCCTTACTCCCAGTCTCAAAAACTCATCCACAGTCTGTTCTCACTCCAGCCAGAGATCCTTGCAGGAACGCAGACACCCCACACTCATGCTGAGGCCTCACTCTGAAAGCTCACCCACACACCGAGATAAGGACGATCCGTGCCCTCCCTCGCACAGCCGAGTCATTCTGGAAGAGGGCGACCAATGAAACAAAAACACAATAAATAAGTCAAGCATGGGGGGGCACAGGTGCCGTGTGACAAAATGGAGAAAGGTAAGAGGAGGCACCAGAGTAAGAGGGCTGGGTTGTGCAAGCGGTATGGTTAGTCCAGGCCCCTCTGACCAGGGCCTTGGCACCCCCAGGGAAACATTATTTTGGATTCCTCACCTTTAACTGACCACATGATGAGAGCTCAAAAAAAAAAAAAAAGATTTTAAATGTGTTACTTTCGTCTAACTACTACTTGTATTTTAATTTTTAATACTTTCCTAATAAGCCACAAGTGCCTTTTTGGAAATGATAAATTAAATGAAGTAGTAAAAAAAAAACTACTCATGAAAGTGAGCTTCATCTTTTTCTAAAATTTAATTAAGAGTTTTTCATTTCATTGAGCTTTCTTTTAAGGCATAAAAAGTAGCTAGGAATACTTGCATCTTTATAGGTACCCATCATGTGTCTAGTGTTAGGGGGAATACATCCAACATGGGGAGCAACTGGGCTTGCTAAAAATAGAAATTTTTTAAAATACAAATTCAGACTGAATTTTCAGATTAAGCCTGTTATAAAACCAAGAGTAGGTAGAAGTCATCAGATTGACAAACACAAGAAAATTCCTCCAGAAATGTGGGGTTTTGAAAGCTTCTGAAGTCCCCATCTAATTGGATGGGGAGACGCATTGTTTGCTTTACCTTCCGGTGGTCTGTTGGATGTTGCCACAACGACGACCCCATTTTTGAACAGATTTTCAAAAAGCTGTTTCAGAATCATGGCATCGGCGATGTCAGTGACCTGTAGGCAACAACACATTTGTTTTATTTTAATTTCACTTCTGCTCTAACAAATTTGCTAATGGGTCTTTTTTTTTTTTAAGATGGAAGTGAATTCCAGGAGGAAAATTCTAATTACCGCCATGAAGAAAAGAGTAGATAATTAAAAGCATGAAAGGCCACCGAACACTCTCTTAGACTCACACCTCCTTCCTGCAAATCCATCAGCTCTACCCAAATTGTCAAATGGTTCTATGCTGACTTCTTCATCAACTATTGTGGAAAGCATAGAAAACCGTCCTGAACATTTAGGAAATCCAATTAATTAGAACATGGCCAACTCTCTCCTTATACTGCCACCCTCTGCACACCCCCAAAACACACACAAAAAGGCGGGGAACAAGAGCAACAACATTAACATAGACAGGCTATTTGCAGTTCCTAATACCTTCCTGGCAAAGGTCCCCGGAAAGGTGACTTTTAATGGCCATGGGACTTTAGAAATAAGGACAAGTAGCCAGTGAGACATAATCAGCTGCTGTTGAAAATAGAATGATATGACATAGATACTATTGTGCAATTGTTGCACAAAACAATTCAACAGATGGCCCATCACAGAAATAAGCAATTTCATTGTTCTTTTTAAGTGCCTTCTATTACTGTCCATGAATAATCCAAAGGCGCCGCAGTCACTTCCAGCACGCCAGCCTCTGCTAACCTTGCAAACACAAATATTCCTGCTAAAAAAATAAAATAAAAATAAATCTGTCCCTCCCAAGCGGTGCCTTAAAACAATGACCTCTGATAAAACCAGAAATGCATCACGCACCTAAACAAGGCACAGTGCAAGCAAAACCACACTAAGCAACAGAGAACACTGCCACTCATCTCTTCCAAAATGATTTCTTGTTCAAATTCATAATCAAAAAGTCCACTTAATGGTTACTTTTTCTTTAAGAGGTTTTTGCACTTCACAAGGAAATCAGCAATCGAGACAGGGAAACTTTACACACAGCCTAAGTGCTAACTGAAGACACTGCCCACTGCAGCTGTGGAGTACCAACAGGGTTCATGGCTGTCCCGGTATAAAAGTGCTTTGACCTCCTTTACCGGCATTTTCAAAGAATCTCAGTAAAATTTGCCTTACATGTGCTTCGTATTTTCCCACTGTTAGAGGGTACAGAAACTCCAAGTTACCAACCAACCCATTATAACACAGCCAAACTGAGTTGCATAGGTCTAAATTGCTTCTCTCTTTATGGCCAGGATCTTACTGAGACAGTAAAGAGTTTCCTCCCCACCTGAACAAAACAAAACCATGAAGGGGGGGAGGTCATTTTGTCTCAAGCAATGACTTAAAAACATTAACTAGGAGAAACTACTGAGAACACCTTGTATTAAAAAGGCTCTAGGAACCTCAAGCATTCACTGAAGATAAAAGAGAAGCGTTCAGTTGGAGTTTGGGACCATGGACGAATTTTGCTTCCACAAAAAACATTCATAGAGAAGTCCTTTCAAATGCTTAAACACAAGTGGCATTTCTGATGAGGAGACAGAACGAGCTTGCAAAATTCAGTAGCAACTGCACTTTTAAATTAGATTTTAAAGCCTCTCCATACACTTCCTTTAAAAAGAAAATCAATGAAATGTTACCTGATATTAGAAAATGAAGGCAGTTCTTTGACTATGTCCATAACGGTTTTTGGAATGAAAATTGAAAATTAGCTTTTGTGCCCTGAGGTTCAGAGCGGAATATTCAGCTGACACGCTGCAAAAGCTTAACCCAGGAATGGATGGGAACAAACAGTCAAGGCTTGTGGTCGAGCTCCACTTGGCTGTTTTTGTGCTAGCTGAGAAAATTAACTTGGAGACGCTATGACTAATTAATAAAGCAGGAGTCACTCGGTGCAGCTGGATGCCAATGTATACTCTTTGATCTCGGTCCTGCACTTGTCCGGGTTTGCTGGGGAACAGTAATTTTACAGTATAAGCGAACAGAAGACAATTGGCCCCACATTCTTGGAGAGCTGGGGTGTTTAGCACCCAGCATTTCATTACCACCAGGAACAAAAGACAAGGCTGCAGATTACCAATAAGGGTAGTCTGCGAGCAGAGAGTGGAGACATTCCATTAGCATTAAAGAGAAGAGATCTTTATGACCTAGAGTTGCCTTCCATCATGACTCGCTTAAATAAAAAGAGAAGAAAGTAATTCATTTACATGTGTAAGTGCTTGAGTCTCAGTCGCCCGCTGATTGGTACAGCGCCATGGAATGAGTGACAAACATAAGCATGCATTATCAGTAATTAGGGTTAGCACAAAAACAAGCACCTACTTTTTATTAGCAGTTTTTAATAGCGCTCCTGCTTTATAAAAATGGCTAACAGTATCTGTTGAGTAAGTGACATTGGTGGTTTGTGGAGGAGAATTTTATACAGCATGCTGCTTATCAACGCTTTTTAAATACTGTGTTAGTAAAACACGTCTTCCCTCGGAATTCTGTTTTCAGAATTACAAGTGGTTTAGCAGGTAACACAAATACTCAAAGAAGATACAATAAAGATTGGAAGGAAAACGTTAAGAATAAGGTATTCTTTTATTTCAGCCACTAAAACACACTTTAGAAAAAAAGAAAACCAAAACCCTATACAGACACATCCGTCAACCAAAGAAGTGTATCTGAGATGTCACGCTCGGCAAAGATGACGAAGAAAGAATGTGCCCTGCAAAATGTGAGCTAAACACTTCCAATGCAGAACCTTAAAAAACACCTTCAACTCAAGAGCACAGATAGAAAGTGTATGTCCTTGCTTGTAAGCAGCAATACTCCCCATTGGTCTTCCTATAAAAAAGCATTATATTCATTACCACCACCCTATAGACAATAATAAATTGCAAAAACAGCAATAATACCACAATCCAATTTTGAAAGTGAACTGGTATTTACAGACATACCGTCACTAAGAACTAGCTTTTTGGAGCCCATTCCCTATGCTGGAATATCTTGCTCAGCCTTGATGCAGCAGGGACGGGCGTGGTCCTGCCTCAATTGGGTATGCCTGACTTTGTGGACTCCCCAAGGAAGGCCTTACCCGCTATGAGTGGATAGGGGATAGGCTGGGGGAAAAGAAGAGGGGAGAAGGGAAGGGAGGGGGAACTGGGGTTGATATGTATAATGAAAAATAATTGTTTTAAGGGAAAAAAAATGAAGCAGCTGAAGACTCTTTTCTGCTCGATTCAGCAAGTGTTATACCAGACTTAAGGATGACTTCTGTTTCTAATTGATCCAGCAAGTATTATACCAGGCTTAAGAATGACTTCTGGGTTTTGAAGTTCTGTTTAAAAATCCCCAAGCCCCACCTTACTCTACAGCCAGAGGCTAACTACATTATACAAGACTTTGTGTACTAAGGAAAATACATAACATAGCCGCTATAAGTCAGAGCGAGGACGCTGGATTTAAACCACAGCTGAGTTACATACCTTTTCTGACTCTCCGTTTCCTCACCAATATAATGAAAGCAGCAGCAATACCTAGTTGTAAAACTTTGATAAGACATATGTTAAAATCCCAAGAAATGTTAACTGGGGTTATTACGTATGTATGGTATACAAGCTCTTATAATTCCATATTAATAATGCATTGCTATATAGAATCTTGGTTGTAAATGGAAGGATAGATATCACAGTACAGGGTTTAAGAACAAAGGCGTTAAAATGTACAGCTCTGTCTGTTCCACTATGTTCATAGCAGCTTTATTTGTAATAGCCAGAACTTGGAAGCAACCTAGATGTCCCTCAACCGAAGAGTGGATAGAGAAAATGTGGTAAATTTACACAATGGAGTACTATTCAGCAGAAAAAAACAATGGAATCCTGAGATTCTCAGGCAAATGGATGACACTAGAAGAAACCATCCTGAGTGAGGTAACCCAGTCACAAAAAGAGAAACATGGCATGTACTCTCTCATATATGGATTTTAGACATAGATCTGGGGAGTGCCAGCCTACAATCCCATGGCCAGAGAGTCTGGGAAACAGAAACTTCATTTAGTGGCTGATCAAAGAAGAGGCAGACTCCCTCGGTTAAGTACTGAGCTGAACTCAAGAAAGCCAGTAACAGAGAGGGAGGACTGATGACCAAAGGGATTAAGACTGGGCTGGTTTAACCCCCAGAAACAGCTGACCTGACAAAGGTTAACTCTTGAATCCCAGGCATCAGCCTGGGAATCCAGCATGGGACTGATCAAGACCCCCTGAATGTGGGTGTCAGTGAGGAGGCCTAGGTAATCTATTGAGCCTTGGGCAGCAGATCAGTACCCATCCCGAGTTGGACTCCCATCCAACAATGTGAGGTGCACTCTCACCCTGAACTCTTGGGGAAGGGTCTAGGCCCTGCCCTATATGAAATGACAGACTATGGACACCCCCATGGAGGGCCTCACCCTCCCTGGGGAAATGAGGGGATAATGGGGGGGGTAGGTTGGGGGGAGGGCACGGGAGGAGGGGAGGGAAAGGGAGAGGGACCTGGAACTGACTTGTGAAGCAACCTTGTTTCTTATCTAAATTTAAACTGAAAAATAAATGAATAAATAAATAAAAATGTACAGCTCAATAAAAACAAGTTCAGAAAAGAACAAAGGCATAGGGTTAGCAATCAAGAGCAATTCTTGTTCTTCCAGAGGACCCTACTTAGTTCCCAGAACTCAGGTTGGGCAGCTCAGAGCTGCCTACAACAACAGCTCCAGGGTATCCCTGCTTTCTTCTGGGATACAAACACTCACACTTACGTGCACACGTGCACAAAATTAAAATATTGTTCTGGAATATTAGCTTAAGATATGTTACATTTGTTTATGCTGTGGACTATTTGTTTAATGATGCAAAGATATGTTGCATTCTTTCACGTTGCATTTGCTTAACTCTGTAAAGCTGTGTTACTTTGCCTGTATAAACACTGTTTAACTCTGTGAAGCTGTGTTACTTTGCCTGTCTAAAATACTGTTTAGCTCTGTGAAGCTGTGTTACTTTGCCTGTCTAAAATACTGTTTAACTCTGTGAAGCTGTGTTACTTTGCCTGTCTAAAACACCTGATTAGTCTAATGAAGAGCTGAACGGCCAATAGTGAGCTGTTTGAGGTGTTGCTTGTCTGTTGTGCTGTTCCATTACATCTATTATGTAGACAGCAGGAGAAAGAGGGGCTGCCAGGCAGAGAGAATAAATAGGAGAAGAGAGAGTGAGGGCTAGAAAAGAAGGAGGGGAGGAAGACTGCAGGGCCAGCCACACAGCCACACAGCCACACAGCCACACAGCCACACAGCCACACAGCCAGCTATGGGGTAAGAAGGAAAGAAAGGTACACAGAATAGATAAAGTTAAAAGCCCCAAGACAAAGTGTGGATAGGATAATTTAACTTAAGAAAAGCTGGCTAAAAATAAGCCAAGCTAAAGTCAGGCATTCAAAAGTAAGAATAATCTCTGTATATTTATTTGGGAGCTTGGTGGCAAGGCCCCAAAGGCAAAGAGTGAAGAAGAAAAAAAACAACTACAAAATATTTTGTTTATTAAAAAAGCAAAACATAGGGGCCAGAAATGATGGAGCACACCTTTAATCCCAACATAGGGAAATAGATCTCTGTGAGTTTAAGGCCAGCCTAGCTTACAAAGTGAATTCCAGGACAGCCAGGGCTACATAGAGAGGCCTTGATGCAAAGCAAACGAAAGCCAAAACAAACACATGGGCAGACAGAGAGCACCCAGGAAGCCGTAGCCAACATCCTAGAGCACAATAAGGAGCTGAGATGCAGCTCACCGGTAGATGACCCATTCAGTGTGCAAGAGGCCCTAGGTCCATCTCCAGCTCCAAAATGAATGAAAAGGACAAAGAGTCTACATAATAGATGTAATGGAACAGCACAACAGACAAATAAGCAACATCTCAAACAGCTCACAAAAAGACCAACCTTGTAAGAAAGCAAAGATGTATATTACTGCACAAATAATATAATTTAAATAATAGGAGCATTTTCATCTATTAACAATTAAAAATGATCAGATACCTCAGGATGTTGACAGGAGAAATGTGGTTGAGGTTTTAGTCTTTGGGTTCTAAGATGCTGACTTTGCTGGAGAGGTATGGCTATTATACTCAAGGGGAGTATCTTTATGCGGGAATGCTATAGGTAAAGCTTAACAGACCATTCTGGTAAGAGTTTCGAAGATCAGAATGCCAAAATATGGACAGTAAAGACAGCTCATGAGGTTTCAGACAAAAAGAACTCTGTCTGGAAATGGGCTAGAGGCCATTTGTGTTATACCCTGGCAAAGAATGTGGTATGATCTGCTCATGTCCTAAAAGTTTTAAGTGAGGCTGAATTCAAAAGCAATGGGCTTTCCATTGCTCGGGTGATAGGGGATTCAACATAATACAGCATTCACTGTGACATAGTTGTTGCTTGATGTCAGGTTTATAATGAGAAGGAGAGCAAAGAACAGAGCAGACAGATTAGAAAAGAAGAAGAATTAAGTTCAGTTAGGAAAAGAAAAGAACATGAGTACATTAAAAGCTATGGACAGGGGCTGGAGAGATTATTGAGCAGCTAAGAGCCCTGGCTGCTCTTGCAGAAGACCAGGTTAGGTTCCCACCACCCACATGGCGGCTCACAGCCGTCTCTAATTGCAGTTCAGGGGATCTGGTGTTCTCTGAAAGCACCAGGCACACCTGCAGTGGACTTAGGTGCATATGGACAAACACTCATACAGTTAAAATAAAAATAAATCTTAAAAAAATGAAAGCTAGAGATATGGCTCAGTGCTTGCACATAGGCTGGCCTGCTCTTCCAGAGGACATGGGCTCCATCCTAGTTCCCACATGACAGCTCACAGTGATCTTTAATTCCAGTCCCAGGGATCTGACACCCTCTTCTGCCTCTGAGAGCATAAGCATGCACGTGGTACATGCAGGCAAAACACCTATACAGATAAAATACAATAAATAAAATCTTTAATGGATAAACGGCCAGTTGTGGTGATGTGCAGTACTCAGGAGGCTAGTATGCACATGGGTCTCTGTGAGTCTGAGGCCAGCCTGATCTGTGTAGCACCAACAGCTGGAGCTACCCAGTGACCCTGTCTCAAAACAGATAAGCAAGTAAGGAGGTGGAGAAGGTTTGCACAAAACTGTGCAACTATTTAGGAGAGAGCATCATTAAAGAGAAACCTCAAGCCCTGATTGGGACAATAGGAAAGATGCCTTGAGGCAAGACCTCAACCATCAAAGGCTCCAATTTCTAAAAAATGAAATGTATTTGAAAGACTTTCATTTGAAAATGCAGTACCTAAATAGTAAGTACAGTGCTTGAACAGATACAGAGGTACTCTGGTCTAACAGGGTCCCCTATACAAGAGTTTCCCCACTTAGATCAAATTCATAAGAAACATAGGTCCAAGGTTTCTGACAAGCTTGTAGATTAGCTACTTATAGGCAGGCATAGTCTATTTAGGGGTGGAACAGAAAAGGACCTGTAATAAGAAGTCAGGCAGCTGGTATAACTATCAAACCAAGTTTGGATGACACACACCTCTATTATGTGTGTTAGCAGGCAAGATCCTTTAAGAGCCTAGAATGGCCCCATATTGGAATACTTGGTCCCCAGTTGGTAGAACTATTTAGGAAGGATCAGGAGGTGTGGCCTCATTGGAGGAAATTGTTATTAGAGATGGGCTTTGAGGTTTAAAGCCCTAGGTTGTGTCAACATGTAAGCTCTCAGCTACTGCTCCAACATCATGCCTGCCTGCTGCCATGCTCCCCACCATGATGGTCATGGGTTAATCCTCTCAAACTATAATCAAGTCCCTGCTCATGGTCTCTCTTCACAGCAATAGAAAAGTAACTAAGACACTCAACATGTACAGGGAAACCCTCTTTGTTGCCTGTGTCTCTGATAAGCTGGGTCTGTTTAAACATTAGCAATGTAGACATTTATTCTTGATTCCTTCTCCCCATTAGTCAGCCTTTTCAAATATGAACTTCATGGAGAATACTCAGCCAGGCTCGTTAGGACTTCATTATTAGTAGAACATTATGGTCTGGGAGAAGCCTAGAACATATACTTTCATGGGATCCTTCCTTCATCAATCCAAACAAAAATCTATACTGTGTTGATATAAAAAATAAATAGAAGGCTACAGAGATGGCTCAGTGGTTGGGAGTACTGACTGATCTCCAAGAGTAATCAGTTTGAGTCTCAGCACCCACATGGCTGCTCAAAAGTGTCTGTAACTCCAGTTCCAGGTGATATGATGCCCCCTTTGGGCCTCTGTGAGCAATGCACACACATGGTGCACAGACATACAAGCAGACAAACTGCTCATACACCAAAAATATAAAGAATATATACGATTTAGGGGGCTGAAGAGATGGTCCAGTCATTAGGAGTGCTCAGTACTATTGCAGAGGACCCAAGTTCATTTCTCATCACTCATACTGCGCCACTCACAAGCGCCTGTAACTCCAGTTTCAGAGGATCTGGTACTCTGTGGCCTTGGTGACATCTGCATACACATGTGCACATAAACTCATGTAGGCACACTATTTTACAATTGTATAATATCTGGTATAGAAGAAGGGAAACACATGACATTTACTGTAACTTACAAGTCAGCAAGCTTCTCTTACAATAAGTTAGTATTTCAGGGTTCCCATGCCACATAATCTCTGTTTGTCCTTCCTTCCTTCCTCCCTTCCTTCCTTCCTTCCTTCCTTCCTTCCTTCATTCATTCATTCATTCCTTCCCTTTTTCTTCTTCTTCCTCCCCCCCTCCTCCTTTCTTCTTCTTGCTACCACTTAAAAACATGAACCCGGCTGGACATTGGTGGCGCACGCCTTTAATCCCAGCACTGGGGAGGCAGAGGCTGGTGGATCTCTGTGAGTTCGAGGCCAGCCTGATCTACAGAGCAAGTTCCAGGACAACCTCCAAAACAATACAGAGAAACCCTGTCTCAAAAAACCAAAAAAAAAAAAGAAAAAGAAAAAAAAAAAAGAAAAATGAACCCAGGGCTGGTAGGATGGCTGAGTGGCTAAGATCTTTTGCTGATCTTGCAGAGGACTCACATTCAGTTCCCAGCACTACAACCACCTGGAACTACAACTCCAGGGGCTCTGTTGCCCTCTTCTGGCCCCCAGGACCACCTGTCTCACACACACACACGGATGCATACAGACACACACTTAAAAGAAATGGATAGTAAAATAGATCTTAAAGCACTGCAACACAAAAGTCTTTTCTCAGGAGTCACATAGAAGCAGGGGCCAATTTATCCTGAGTGGGCCATGGCTTGTGAAACTCTAAATAAGACAGTAAAATTGAAGTAGTAACAGAAAGTATGTGAAATCAATTCATAAAACAATGAAAAGCCGGGCAGTTGTGGCGCATGCCTTTAATCCCAGCACTCGGGAGGCAGAGGCAGGTGGATCTCTGTGAGTTCAAGGCCGGGCTGGACCGACAGCCTCCAAAACAATACAGAGAAACCCTGTCTCGTAAAACAAAAAACAAAAAACAATGAAAATACCAGGAGCAAAATTTAACTATTCACACTTTGCAATACTCCATCTGTAGGTAAGAAAAACCTCCCCTTGGGGCTGGAGAGACAGCTCAGAGTTCAGAGTGCCTAGTGCTCTTGTGGAACACTGAGTCCTGTTCCCTGAACCCAATTCAGGCAGCGCACAGCCACCTGTAAATCCAGTTCCAGGGGACCCAGTGCCTCTGGCCTTGGTGAACACCCATCCTCACATACACAACCCTATTCATGCACACACACAATTTAAAATCATAAAAAGAAATCTAAATCTAACAAAAACAAAAAAACTCCCCAGTTTACCTGAAATTCATCAAAACATAGAAGACAAGCCTCTTGGCTGATTTCTTCGGCTATGGGAGCTATCGGGTCATATGACTTAGTCATGAATCCTGCCTTCCTTTTTGGCAAGCTCTGTTTAAGGCGATGTATTCCTTAGATATATGAAATGAAACAGACAAAATATTATATTAGTAGAACATTTTAAGAAGTAGAACACATTTTTAATCTCTGAAACTTAACTTGGACATAAAAACTAAATTTAGCCGGGCGTTGGTGGCGCACGCCTTTAATCCCAGCACTTGGGAGGCGGAGACAGGCGGATCTCTGTGAGTTCCAGGCCAGCCTGGTCTACAGAGCTAGTTCCAGGACAGCCTCCAAAACAATACAGAGAAACCCTGTCTCGAAAAACCAAAAAAATAAATAAATAAAAATAAAAACTAAATTTAAACTCCACGTGCAATGGAGATTAATCATCACTCTCTGTGAGTTTGAGGCCAGCCTGGTCTACAGAGTGAGTTCCAAAGCTACAGAGAAACCCGGTCTTGAAAGACAACAACAGCAACAAAAAAGAAAAAACTAGCTGGAGATGCATTCTTTTTTTCTATATACCACAAAGCAAATGATACCAAAGAAAATCTTACTTCAAGCAAAAGCCTAACTTTTTTTCCAGCATATGGAAAATGATTTTGTAGCTCACACGCTTTTGTAGAAAACCCACAGGCTGCTTGGGGTCACTAACTTACTTCTGTGCACATCTAACATGAAGCCATGAAAATGGACCCGTTTTTTCCTCTTCGTTTCCACATAGGTATAAAACATGTCCATCACCATTGTTTTCCCTGTACCTGAAAAATAAAAATAAAAAATTTAAGAATGCCATTAAACGGCATGTGCTGATTACACTAATGATTGCTCATTAGCTTTGGGATAATGAGACTTCGCGCTTTGCTGGGAAGCCAGAGGCTGCTGCTCTGCTAAGTCGGAGAAGGCACCTATGTTTCCCGCTGAACTGGCTTTCAAAGATTGATGGTCCCCGTTTCCTCATAATCCTGCTTTTAGTCAACATGCAGAGGTGTGCTCATAACCTGGCATGGTTTCTAGGCTGTTCTTCTGTCTTTTCTTCTAAAAGACACTAAAATAAATTAATTTACTATTTATTAGGAACTATGGGAAATTCAGAAATTAAAAGTAAGAATATTGAGAGAAGGTGGCTGGCTGGCAGGGTGGCTCAGCAGGTGAAGCACATGCCATGCAGGCCTGCTGACCCTCATTCAGTCCCCCACCCTGCCCCACCCCACCCCACCCCACCCCTGCATACACATATATCATAGGCACGCATGATAATAATAGGCACAAATATTTTTTTAAAGAGGTGAAAAGTAAAGCAATAAATGCAGAGGAAAATGGTCAATTACAGTGCTTTGTCCTGTTTAAAGCTGAGAGCAGGTTTTTCAAAACTAGCCCTACTTCAGAAACTCTGATAACGGATCTTAAGAATTAAATTATCTAGGGGATAACGGGGGGGGGGGATGGGGGGAGGGCACGGGAGGAGGGGAGGGAAAAGGAGAGGGACCTGGAACTGACTTGTGAAGCAACCTTGTTTCTTATCTAAATTTAAAAAAAAGAATAAAAAAATCATTATTGATTAAAAAAAAAGAATTAAATTATCTAGTTTTCAACACTTGAAAATTACTCACTAGAATTGTACTAACAGCTGAAAGTCACCTGAGCACAGGCAAGCACAAAAAGTGTTACTCCCTTGCAGGAAACCTAGCACCCGGCAATCTAGCACCTGAGTGGACCACAGCAGTACCCACACTTGGTCCATACCCCTGCAACCATCGGCAAGCTAAATCTGCATGTAAGGGGTCCTGCCTCCAATCCCCCCACCTCTCTCTCTCTCTCTCTCTCTCTCTCTCTCTCTCTCTCTCTCTCTCTCTCTCTCTCTCTCTCTCTCACACACACACACACACACACACACACACACACACACCCATCCCATCAGGAAATGAAATTACTAAAATTCAAGGGCAGCTTAGTAAATAGGAAGACATAGACTCATCTTTGGGCTTTTCTCCATTCTGGGAGGCATTAAGCCCATGACATTTTCTTTTTTAAAAAGTGTTGTGTGTGTGGGTTTTTTTTTTTGCTTGCATGTGTGTCTATAAACCACATGCATGCAGTTCCCTTGGAGGTCAGAAGAGGGCATCAGATTCCTCCTGTGACTGGGGTTACTGGTGGTTGTGAGCCACCATGTGGGTGCTGGGAATTGAACCCAGGTCCTTTGCTAAAGCAACAAGTACTCTTAACCCCTGAACCACCTCTCCAGCCCCCAAGCCCATGCCATTTCAATACCAGGTCTTTTTAAATTGAAAAGTGACTCTGTAAAATCTTTAGTACAGTACTTCTGGCTAGAATAAGCAATAGCAGATTCTCAATCATTACATTTACCAAAAAAGTAAAGCATTAAACTTTCAAATTCTACCGAATCTAACACTGACCCAGAAAAGTTCTTGAATTATCTAACCAAAAATGTGAAGAACATATACTTCAACTTCATATTTGTGTGAACTCTTTGTCAAATGGTCTTAAAATGGAGCAAGGCCATCAAGTGAGCAGGAAGCTAGCCTGAGCTACATGACTCAAAAAAAAGAAAGAAAGAAAGAAAGAAAGAAAGAAAGAAAGAAAGAAAGAAAAGAAAACATTAGGTTACATAAATGTTAACCACATAACTTTCAAGATCTTACTTAAATACAATAAGTATCCTTATTCACTTAATTGATAGATTCGCTGAACGATCACATGGATAAGATGCTACTGACTACAGGTACTTGGGATATAAGAGGAACAGGACTAAAATCCCTGGGATCAGCATGAGTTCCTCATCCAGCTGAGCTATGCAAGGAGTTCAAGGCCACCATGGACTACAGCAAGACCCTGCCTCAGGAAGATGTAAAACAAGTTGCTAGCCGGGCGTTGGTGGCGCACGCCTTTAATCCCAGCACTTGGGAGGCGGAGACAGGTGGATCTCTGTGAGTTCGAGGCCAGCCTGGTCTACAGAGCGAGTTCCAGGACAGCCTCCAAAACAATACAGAGAAACCCTGTCTCGAAAAACCAAAAAAAAAAAAAAAAAAAAAAAAAAGTTGCTAAAGTGATGTATTACAGGGTTAATAACATACAGGTGAGTTGCAGCCAATATGAGCACACATGTTATTCTGAGGTAGATGAGAGAAACAGAAAAGTACTAGTACACAGCTATACATGACACCGTGGTGAGCTTAGTGACGTGTGCTGCAAGAGCACATAGGAAGACTGTAACAGAAGAAAAGTATTTCACATGGTCACAAGATGGAATAAATAAAATATAAATAATACCAATCATATGAATAATATGAATATACAAAACAGTCCTTAGAAACTAAGAACAGGGCAGATAGGTCGACCAGCAGGTTAGGACACACACCATGCCTGGCAACCAGCGTTTAACCCCCACCCCCATCCCCCCACCCCCATCCCCCCACCCCCCACCCCTGGGTCCCTCTGAGTGTTCTCTGACCTCCACATATACATCGTGGCATATGCACATGTACATACAAACTAAAACAGATTATTAAGTAATAAGGTAATTTTTACATTAAAAACAACAACAAAGGACAAGATGGGTATAGTAACACAGGCCTGTAATTGTAGCCCTTGAGAGGCTGAGGCAGGAGGATGAGTTCAAGGTCAGTTTGGGCTATATAAAGAGTTAGAGGCCAGCCTGAGCTACATGAAACCCCATCTTAGAACAAGATCAACAAAAGGCGGGGTGGGATGACAGCTAACAAAGACCCAGGGGAAGCAGAATACAAATGTGAGATGGGAGGTGTGAGCACTACATACTGATCAAACCAACTGGACCACATAATCCGGTAAACAGGCCGAGAGAAATGAACAAAAAACTAAGCTACAGACTCTCTTCATGATACCCAAACACATGTGATAAAAGTAAAAACTGAGGGTTTAGAGATGGCCCAGAGGTTAAGAGTACTGGCTGTGTTTCCAGAAGACCCTGGTTGGATTCTCAGCATCACATGGTGGCTCACCGTCATCTGTTCCAAGGGACCTGACACCCTCTTTTGGTCTTCTTAGGGATGACGTGCATGCGGTACACTGATATGTATGCAGGTAGGACACCAAACACATAAAACTAATTAACTAATTAACTAAATCTCAGAAAATTCAAAAAAGGTAAAAACTGAGATCTGTCCCACAAATACTCATCCTAAGAAAGCTGCAGCAATCATATGAACATCAGACAGACTGGACAAGTAATCAGGAATATTGCTAAAGATAAAGAATGGCACTCTATAATAAGATAATTGATCCATCAAAAAGGTAGAATGGAAGGGGTCACTGCGGCCCACATCTGGAATCCCCATTCATAGGAGGCTGGAGCTGAGTCTGAGTCCAGTCTATGTCAAAGGAAGAAAAGAGTAACAATATATACGTGCCGATCACGGAGCTTCACAGTATATTAAATGAAACTAAAGGGGAAATAATCTAATCCACAATAAAGGTAGGAGGTGTCAACATTCCTTTCTTGGAAAAAGGCAAAATAAAAAGAAAAGCAATGAGAATACAGATTTCCTAACATTTGACAAAACGGAAGTACAGAACATTATGCACAGCAGTAAGTGGTTAGTGTTTTCATGTGCACCTGAAATAGTCAACTGTAGCAGGCTTTCGTGGACCACCAGCCCCCAAATCATGACACAGACAGAGACTTATTAGTAATTATGAATGCTCGGCCTTAACTTAGACTTGTTTCTAGCTTGCTTTTCTTTATTTCTCTTAGTCTATGTGCTGCCCCCAGGCTCGTTTACCTCATCTACATACTGTCCATCCTGCTTTCTTGCTTCCTTCTGTCTGTTTGTCTGGCCCCTGGCTGGTTGGCCAGCTCCCCTTTTCTCTTTGCCCACCAGTCCTGCCTATCCTTCTTCTGTCTAGCTGTTGGTCATTCACCTTTTTATTAGGCCAATCAGGTGCCTTAGGCAGGCAAGGTAAAACAGCAACACATCTTTACATAGTTAAACAAATATTCTCTTCTATAACATTCAACCCTAAATCATAGTTATTCTTCTGAAATATGAAAGGAAAGGAACTGAGTCAGACAAACCATTTTTTGAGAGTACAATAAAACCAACCAGGAATCAATCAGATATTTAGAAATTTATCAACATGTGGGTAAGTAATCCTTGCAGCCCCACACAACCTCCGACAGCAGCCTGAGTTCTTCCTAGAAACCTGCACTTAGGTAAAGCAGGATCCATGACTTTCCACAGAAAGGGCTTTCAGGATGAGCCAGGATGAAGCAGAGCTGCAGCTTACTAAGACATTTTAAACACAAGGAATAAGAGAGAGAGGAGCTCTGGTGCTCCGGGAGACAGGCCTGAGAACAGGGGACTGGTTCCCCAGAGGTAAGTCTCATTTCATTATCTTTGTAATAGCCATGTTTAGGACTTGGTGAAGTTTGAAGTTATCTTTAAAGGTGCTTATGGACCTTAAATTAGATCACAGAGTCAACAGGACTACAGCAGACAAAACAACACTTCATATCCCAGGAACTGCACAGGAAGCTAAATGTAAACTAAAATTAATAGGAGAAAATACACAGGCCCACAGGGGTAGGCCCACACTTAAGGATATGTCCAGGCCTTAAAACACTATCTTAGCGTTCTTATACGAAGTGTCTTATATTGCAAGGAATGCCTTTATGCAGATAGTCTGCACAGCAAGTGTTAATTGTGTTGGAACTCTTGATCCTCGCCTGGCAGAGACCTCGATCAGACTCCAGGGTGAAGGG